ATTGGTAGTTGCAAATACATTCGTATTCCAGAAAATGCCAGAAACAGTATTTAACTTTGCTCATATCTTAAAGGAAATTCTACCTTACAGATTTCAGTGGAGTTGGATCTGAATTTTAAAGAATTACCCTTATGCTGTTGTTTTAGTCTTGACTCAATAAATCAAATGGGAACCTGTGCATACTGTCATTTTTAAGACAGTGAGAACTGAACTTTTGGAAATATTTCTGCTGAGTACTTACTGAAGTAATGTAGTTCAGAATGGCTATTCACATGGACAGGATTTACAGGGTCAGGTCTTCTGCGTGACTAGCTACTGAGTTCCAGAGTGCCTAGTAAAGTGTTAAGATTCATTTTATTCCTCATATACATGAATTGTTTGTAAAGGTGTGGACCATTTATAAATGAGAAAGAGATGGCCTGTTAAAATTTTTTTTTTTCAAGTAGTGATGTTGCTAATATTCTATCTACCCAGTGCATGCCTAGACCAATAGGTGAAGGTGTTTGATTATTTAAAATGTGTACTGGATTAAATTTTGTGATGTATTTTTGAGAATTTCTTATTTTATTGAAATTACTTGTTTTGGCTAAATTGTTGTATTTCATAAAATATATTTATTTTTTCCTGAAAACATTCTTTGGTAAGTTCATTATGCTCTGATTTTTTTTTATTTGTCGAGGAGTACAAGTTCCTAGCATACTGGAGATTGTTTTGATTGACTTTCAGACAGCTGGTCCCATTGTAATGCTGCTTAATGTGATGAAAATTATTACAGAGACATATTCCTTTAGAAAATGTTACACATTTTGCTCTTGGGAGTATTTTGCGTGTCTGCATTTTTTGGATGCTTTGAGAAAAAAAAAATCTTTATGAAATAGAGTAAAGGCTATACTAAGCATTTAACACTTACTTTTGGCTGACATTGCCAGCTTTTTGGCCAAGGCACCCAGGTGGCTAATTAAAGCTAGGAATTTAATGAAATAGTGTGATTTTTCTATAGCTGTAGGGATGAAAGCATTGGAGTTTAGGCAACAGACACGACTGTAAAATGAAATGTGAAAGATACATATGTGCAGAAACTAAATGTTAATATTTGTCTTTAAAAGTTGGACTGAAGGAATTAAATGTGCTGTAGTTACAACTATGAGATCAATTTGTATGCTATTCCAGAAGAACAACGAACTATGGAATAGAACAGAACTCCCCTCCGTCCCTTCCTTCCCCTCTCTCCCCTCTCCTCTCCATTTGTTTTTCATCCATAGATGAAGCTGCTAGACACTCTATGCCAATTGCTGACTGGATATAACCATAGGAACATAAACAGAAATCTAAATTTGTTATCTGAAAAATTGTCATTAACCAGCTATTTTAATGTTTGTCCAAGATTAAGCATCTGTGTAAAGTGTTAGTCATCTACTCTGCTTTTTAGACTACTTTTTTCCTTTTTAAATATTATGAGCTCAGAACATAATTTCTTTAAGCCAAGTGTGATGTTGGCACCACTTCAGTGTGCTCTAGAACCCGTTTGAAGACTGGCTTTCCAGTTATGTGAAGTTTGTAAAATTACAAACACAGCATAGTATTCTAGAAAAACTGGTTTGATATGACCGTATTGCCTAGTTCATTGGTTAAAGAATTTAGCTCACTATAAGATAATAGATACTCAACTTCAAAATGAACAATAACAATGTGGAAAATCAGAAAGCTGTGGATTTCATGTGGTCTCAGAGCTTTAAATTTTTTTTTAGCAAAACACATGAAACTAATTCCTTGTGATAAAGAATAATGTAGACTCAACTATGCATATCAGCATAGCTACTAGTAAACTATGTGGATATTTTTTATCCTGTATGGTAATGGCAGTTGATATTTTGTGCTGATTTTATTTCTCATGCATAATTTTTACTTATCCTAATCTTCTGCTTTATTTAAAAGTGTTTTAGAAATAGAGCCATTGTGAGAATACCAGACCAAACATACTCAAAAATTATACTGGATCAAGGATTATATTTTATATATTTGCTGTTAAAAAAAAATAATTGGTGGGGAATATGTTTTGTGTTTATTTCCTCTATTGATCTTCTCCTGTACATTTAATGTAGGCCTAAAAGAAAACTACTCAGCTAGGCTTTTTAACTGTAGCATTTTTTTTTAATTTCCATAGGCATGTAGTCAGTTGTGGAAGAAAGAGAGGCTATGACACAGCTTTCTTTTATTTCCTTCTCTTCAAGAGTTTGCATATCACAGGCACCAGATGTTTTCCTTTGCAGCTTTACCGTGTTCTGCTTTTCAGTGTGGCATTAGACAGAAACTGAAATGGGAAGTTGTGAGAGGGAAGGGTGATGAAAGAGGCAGTTAGCATTGGCATAAAATTGAACTTCTTATGGAGATTAAATATAGATTATCATTTACTCAGCATTAGGTTAGAAACCATTTTGTATTTTAACAGCACAAAGTCATATTACACCACCAAAATTTCTGCCAAATACCACATTTATATATGAAGTTGTGGAAGTAATTTTTTTAATATTCATTTTGGTTTTATGCCGATTAGGTCTACGCTTACAATTATGTGACATGGGCCCATGAAAGAGAACTGATTTTCACTTGGAGTTGCACAGAGCACCTAGCATATATTTAAATACTTGATTTAGAAAGACTAAAATTTTTGAGGAAATTTAGTAAGAAATAGACAACTCAATAGCTAAACCCATTATCTTCTTTAAGACCTAGAAAAAAAGTTTAAACTAGAATGTGCAATTTCTGGTTGGTTTTTTATTAATCTGTCAGTGTAACTTTGACAGAAATATCATTGTTTTTAGCACTGGCATGTTGCTTGCTTATTATTGGTTAGCTGTGTCAGTGTGTTGTGTTTTTCAGAAAATTAACCTTTCTTAAAACACTGCTAAAATACTGGTGATTTATGCTATACTCCCAGGCCCCTTGAAGTAGGTCTCATGTAGGCAGGTTTCTTCTGACCATTGTTTAGTGTATTTTTTTTTTTTCGTTCTCAAGTGAACTTAATTTGTGGATTTAAACATGATGCCAGAAATCTACCAAGAGACAGCTGAAGTGCTGTACTGGTGGTCTCTTTGAGCTGGGAAAAAAACGCTGTTGTTTCTTAAGAGTCTTGACATTTTGTTCAAGGTTTGTCTAAAGGGAGGAGAGAGCCTGAGGTGTGTAGCTTGTTAGAACTGTGTCTGGGTAATATAAAAAAGTATTTGAGAATATTTAAGGAAGGTACAGGCTAAGGTCTCAAAGTCTCTTGCATTGCAAAATGCTAACTCCTCACTAGAGTTGGTTCAACCTGGAGAATCTCAGCTGTTCATCTTCCAGTCACTGTTTTGTATAATATAGAAATGATGGTAATAAAAATAAATATATTTTAAAAGGATGGATTTTGATTTTTTTTTTTTTTTTAATCTGTAAACAGATAACCAGTTAGGCTAATCTATGTCTTTTTGTGCCATGACAGGCTGATGCACCCTCTTGAACACAACTATAGGATAAATCTGTTTTTTAAATACAGGAATTCATACCTGTCTTCTAAAAAAATTATCAGTGAGCGTGATGTAGAATCTTTTAAAAAAACCAAAGATTTTTATTTGAATTAGTTATACCTACTTTTATTTTTCTAGGCAAGTTGAAGTTACTTTTTAAGTAATAATAGATTAGCTTTTCTGTCATGTATTTCACCTACAAACTTGTCTATGAATTATCTTTTACAAAATTTTAATATGTCTACATTTATTGATTAAAGATTCATTTTCCAGTATAAATAAGTAGTGAAAAAAACAGTGGTAGGACAAAGAAACCAGTGATAGAAGAATATAAGATGATCTTGTTTCCTTAGCGTAAGAAAATCAATGCAAGAAATGTGTTCTGTAACTTCTATAACTTTTTTTTTTTTTTAAAATGGAAAGTTCTAATGTGGAAATAACAGAGACATTTTCAGTGATCCTTTTGAGCACTGAATAATATTCTCTTCATTTGCCAAAATAGGATTAGTGAGTAGATCTCATTAGGAATTTGCACATGACTTTATTTTTATGTGGATAAAAGGGAGCAAATTCCTCAAAGTCAGAGAAAGTCGGGAAAATAATATCTAAGAATCCAAGCAGGTAGAAAGCATTACAGACTGCAAGAATATTTTTTTCAGTGCCTGACAGGCAAAATTAGCTTGCCTTCTTTCTTGAAGGATGTATGCTAGGTATCAGAATCAGGAAGGCTTCTGGGAACTTAATGAATAAGATCTACAGCAAAAGATAATTAAACGTTGAAACAGTTTAATTTTTTTTTTCCTTGAGTACATTGTTAAAAAAATAAAATATGTAATGGTGTTAAGGATTGTTTCATTTTGTTAGAAGTTACTCATAAATCTATTTGTTGATAATCTTTTGTAGAAAGAAGTCTCATTATTAAAAAAGAAAGAAATGTAATGTTTTTATTATGTACAAAGCTATTTGTAAAGGCATGCTTTATTCTTCATGGCATATTTATGACCTGACCTTCTACCTCATCACACTTTAATCCTCAGAAATGTTGTATTTATAGTCCAGCTTTTCAAAGACAGAATTTCCACAACATACATTAGTCATCACCTTCACCTTCTGCTTCCTTTGAAATTAATGCTACTTAAAGCACCCATTAACATTGTTCCCGAACTCATTGTGTGAGGATTGTTGGATGATATCCCTCTGTAACAACTATTTTTCTGCATAGTGCTTAGAACATAGATGAGTATTTTTGAGCAAATTATAAAAAAGAAAAAATCTTTTAGGCCTGAATAATTACTTTACCGTTATAATCTGATTGTATTAAAGCTGTTTTGATATGCCATCTTGAAAACAAGATGAAGTTTCATTGTTTACATCTGATACTTAGCATACTTGTATCTGTTGGACAATTGACGTCCTGTGTCATAGTCACAAGTTAATTTATAGAGAAAAAGAAGTTATTTCAGTCATTAACACTAATGCATATGTCTATACAATTCTTAGACATATGAAGGACCAAAACAAGAAGGTTGCCAATCTGAAGCACAATCAGCAAATGGAGAAAAAGAAGAATGCACAGTTGTTGGAAGAAGTCCGTAGGCGAGAGGACAATATGACTGACAATGCTCAACATTTACAAGTGAGTTTATTTTTCAATTGTGTCTTAAAACCATCAAAGAAAGTACACTTCTGTTACACTGTCTGTCTTCCAGGATGTATAAGGAATCTCTTTCCATAAAAGAGCTGGTGGCTCTCTCCTTTCCTACCAGAGAATGCACTGCTGACTTCAGTTGCATCCATGAAATATTTAATATTTAGGGTGAGGAAAAAACAATAGGATTTGAAGCTGTCTCCTCCCAAGGACTGTATTTTACTTGTTTAAAAGCAAGTAAGTCATATCTTGTTTTGAGGAGACTCAGAAAATAGAAGGATAATTATAATTTCTGGATTCTATTTCTGTGATATTTACAGCATTATATCCACAACCCATAATGAGGTTATATAGTGTGGTTATGAATGTTCAGCATGTTTGAATATAAAATATTAGTGTGCTGCGACTTTTTTTTCTTTTTTCTTTTTTTCTGGCAGTGAAACTCTGTATCAGCAGGGATATAATCATCTGGTTACATTCTCAGATCATTTAATGAGTGTGATTTGATCTTATTAGCTCTCTGTACATGTGTATGTAGTGGCCTTAAAAGGGTAAGGATAGATTGTCTAACAGGGTAATGGTGAATTTAGAATCCTCACCAAAGACCACTTTTATCTTATATACTTAGATGTAGCATAGAGGAGCACTGGAGACAGCTGCAGCTGCCTCAGTTGACAGATCTCTTATAACCATTACTGCCCAGTTACTACATCAACAACTTTTTTTCCTTACAGTTAGAAAGAAAATGTTCTCCTATATCTCTTTTTGATTTAAGATAGCCTTTGAAACTTATTCTTGGAGAATTTCTACCGTTTGCAAGTTATTGAGTTCGGGCATTGAGATTTAAAAGATAATTAGCTTATCTGGTTTAATGGTACATTACGTACAAGGGGAAGTGTATTAAAGGCCACAAAACAAGTTTGATGCTTGACTTAAAAATCATTCTCTGAGATCTGACCATGAAAAACTATGAAGAGAAGTACTGATTTCTGTCAACAACATCAGTGTCTCCATGCCCAGTGTCTATAGGCAAGTCTAATTTACAGTGAAAAATATCAATTTTGCCTTGGTCTCATTAATATAATGGGTTTACAGAAAATTTCCAATTGATGGAATTAGACCCTCACATACTTCATATGGTTTCACCTATGTTTCTATATGCAAAATGGAGAAATTAACACCACACCCCTCTTCTGGATTGTGTTGGTGAAACTGTGTGTCAGAATCAAGTTCAGGAAATGATACGTTATTTATGCATATGTGTAGTGTTATGCATACTTTATAACCTTGGTCATTACATAGTGATTACATCACTATGTGTTCGACTGCATGTACTATAGTGATAAAATCTTGTGAAGTATTTGGTCTGACAATATGTCAAAATTAAATTTTAGTGTTGAGCAGCTACTTGCAATGAATGTGGTTCAGTAAAGAGAATACATTAGAGCATTATTTTTTCAGTATTATTTTGGGAATCTATCAGTGTGGTGTGATCACTAGAGAACAGAAGTCATTCCAAGGGTCTTTGATGTAACTGCTGTACTTGGAGCTTTCAAGTCATGTGATGGGAATGGGTCTCCCAAATGGAAGTGGCATGGCTGAAGAGCCTGAATTTAGAAAGAAAAAATCTTGTCTAGTATATAGCTCTTCTGTGCCATGCAGTTGATATAAAGCATTTACACGGAACAGTTTATGAAAACCAGTTAACTAAGAAATGTTATTTTTCTGTTACTATGCTTTAAAATGTTAATATTTTAATATCGTGTACTTCAACATACTACTTTCAGTAATGTGTGTATGTATGTGTTGTGGTCCATCCTAAACTTGCTGAGCTGCTGGGAAAGTGAAAAGAGAGGACCTCAGCTGCTTCTGCCTGTCAGTAGGTGTTTCACATTCCCCAACTCTTCCTCCAGTAGCTGCAAGGACAAGAGGAGGCGGTGAGGACTGGTTGTCTGTGCTGCTGGCATGCTGGTACAGCTAATCCTGCCTTCAAGAGCAGTGGTGGATGCAGTTATGATTTTGATTGGACTGTATGGCTGGTTATCTCAGGGTGATTTTGATTTGAGGCTTTTGTACCTGGTCACATAGAACTATTTCACGTATTTGGCATAAGATAAATGTTTACTCCTGTAATATATAGGCACAAGTGCCTGGGTGCAGGGATGGAACACACCTGCTTTCTGCAGATCTGAGTATGACACTACGTTTGTGAGTGTTCTAGATTTGAACTTATTTATGCATGTGTTTAAAAGGATATACATAATGCAGTGTGTAATAAGTAAATTTATTTTCTTTTCTACCAACCCAGGGGTATAATACTTTCCCTAGGAAGCAAAGTTATGTGAACATATACAGAATTCAAATTGAGTTGATTAAATGAATAATCTGACAGAGCAGAATACTTGATCACTCTTTATATTAAATTTCAAATTATAAATAATATATAGGGTTAAGATGTTGTAACAGTAGTGATCTAAGGATTTAAATGAGGTGGGATTTCTGGGGAGACACATAATGTGATATATATATGATATACTTTGAAAAACAAGCTTCTGGGAGTACTGTGCATCTGCTAATTAAAAATAAAATGAATTGGTATTTCAGTAGATATTGAATTAACATCTTAGTAAACCATAGGGATCTGACCACCTTTTCTTGTTACTGTTTATAATTCCATCTCCTATGTTTAGTAGAAAAACCCATTGTTTATAGGCATTTATAACACATGGTGCTTGTGCCTATAGTGTACTTGTTACATTTGTGAATGATGTATTGAGCTGTTAGGGCAAAGTATATCCTGAAATTCTCTGGCCTGATGTAATGGTTGTATTTTTTGGCTAGCTGTGATAAGCTGGCTGTTGGCTAGCTGTGATAAGCTCAGCTGAGAATTGAAGAGCAATTAGACTAGTCAAATTACATTTACTCCAGCCAAGTCTCTGTCTCTGTCGCAGAAGTACTGGAAAAGATGTAATAAGGAAGCTGGTGTAATTGTCCATGGACCACTCAGGGAGTCATTCAGGGCACACTGAAGCAATCAGTGAAGTGCCATCCATTTCGTACAGCACAAGTAGGGGCTGCAGCTCTACCCACTCAGCTGTCCCTTTGCTTTCTGGTAGGTTTGAAGAAGTTCAGAAGTCTGTAGTTTCTCCAAAGCTTCAGTAGGATGTAATAGTTCCCGAGGCTTGTAGTGTCGTATATATTTGTGACACTTTTCACAATCTTTTCAGATAAAAGCCTCCCAAAGCTGGTTCATATCCTAGCATCAGCACTTGCAGGTCAAGTTTGAGTCTCTGATGGCCCCATCTCACAGCACTTCAGGGCCACTGCTGTGATGGAGAGTGCCTTGGGATGCCTGGGGAGGGAGTTCGCTTTGGTCTCCCTCAGCTATCAGCTATAATTGTGAGTGATGCTTCAGGTGTGGTTTTGGGGGGTTATTTGGATCACTGTAAAATTGGAAACATCAGGGAGCCAGACTTCAGATTAGTTCTTGGGAATGAAGAATAGTTGTGAGGTTTTCTGCTTTTTCCTTCCACAAATCAAGGGCAGACCTGTGCAAATCTTGCCAAACATGATGGTCATATATTACAGAAAGCATCACAGCAGGAGAGCTGGCCCTTGAACACTTTATCATGAAATTTTTTGAGAATGGTGTATCAAACATGCCTTCATTTTTCTTTTTTTTTGTCTGTCTTAAAAAGATAAGCCTTTCTGAGAAATGCTGAGCTAAGAAATCTACAGGTATCATGTCATAAAGATCCTCTTTGGAGGATCTTGAAATGTTACAGAGGTAAGATGTTTATTTCCTGAGATGTGTTTTTCTTGGTTCTTGTATGGGACATGCCTGTTCCAGTAACGCCATTACCCCAACTCTTGTATGGGACATGCCTGTTCCAGTAACACCACTACCAGAATAGAATTAGGAAAGAAAACATTTGCATAACATTGAGAACTTGAGTGGCTTTGGTTTTGATTCTGGTTTTCAAACCTGCTGTGATAACAACAACAACAACAGTCCCTTCTTTTCTCTCGAGTAAGTAATAAGAATGTGCATGTAATAACATTCCCATATGTCTCATCACATAGTCTCAAAGGAAATTAAATGTATGCTTTTGTCTGATTATACTTTTCATAAATGTAAAGTATCAATTTAATAAGTGAATTGAACCTTATGAAATCATATCTGTACAAAGTCCAGAAACACTGTTCTGTGGAAACTTTATGTAAACTGTCTGACACATATATGTCCCTGGAGAGGTGCAGGGATGAGCCTGAAAACAATGTTAAAAAGTTTAATACTTGGTTCTGCTGTGATCTACACAGCTCCTGGGTGTTTCCACCTTTTCTTCTCATTTATCTGCTGGAAAAGTTTTGTACTCTCCTAATGTTTTAAATGCTTGGGTTATTTGTCACAATTCTCTTTTAGGTAGCTTGGATTTTCTTTGGGCAGAATTCCACATGCTGAGAAGAGATATTTCACCAAAAAATTTTTTTGAGTGAGACAATGTGTAGTTGATTTCAAATATCATATACAGGCAGCTTGATCAATGCTCTGAGCCTGAAGTACTGTGAAACAGATTGTGTACACACGTACATTTTGCAGGTGTAAATATCTAACTTTTTAAATAGCCCAGCGGGTCAGCCTTGGTTTGTCACTGGATGTACTGAGGCAAGGCAAGAATTCTAGCTTTTCAGTAGTTTTGTGCTGGCTGCAAATTTAGTCTTAGGTAATGAATAAAACATGATCAGGAGAAAGTCCTATCAAAAACGATAGAAAAACTGGGTAGTTACTGTTACTGCTGTCTGATTCTTCCCACATGAATAGCTGTGGTATCTTACAAAAAATAGCTCCCAAGAGATTTCACAGCTAGTCAGTGTGAATCCTTACATTTGGATTTGTTTCTTTATTTTTCACTCTCTGCTTCAGCATATAATTTTAATCTCCATAATAGTTGTAGAAATACAAAATACAAGAAAGACATAGGACATTG